TGCTTCTGGGAAGAAGGGTCTCAAGACAAATCATGCAAGATAAATAGGGCGTCCCGGGGTTCAGCTGCAGGACACCTGGCAACCCTGTCCACCCCTGCTCCGCAGAGCGACATGCATACATGCAACATCGAGGAAAAAAACTGGACAGCCAATGTCCCCAAAGCACACCAGGCCAGTTTCCCCTGTGGGACCATGTCTTCAAGGCACAAACGGTAGCTTCGGTGGAGGCTGTGACAGTTTGGCGAGTGATCTCCATTCCCTAACTCATTTGCATGTTTGAGAGGTCTAAGAGCATCGGTCTCCTGTCTGAAAGAACGGGCATTGCTGATGCCTACCGATGTAAGTGCATTTACCACCCGCCCCTGCCCGCTTCATTTCTTCTCCCTGACCCAGGAGTTTTTGTTGTTGTTGTTGTTGTATTTATTTATTTTATTTATTTATTTTAGGGAGGAAGGAAGTTGTTGTTTTTTAATAGAGCAGTTTTAGGTTCACAGCAAAACTGAGCCAAAGGCACCAAGGTTTCCCATGTACCTCCTGCCCCACATCGGCACAGGCTCCCCCATTGTCAGCACCCCCCACCAAAGTGGCTCGTGTGTCACAAGGGATGAGCCCAGGTTCACAGAGCGCGATCACCCAGAGCCGGGACTTGCATTCACAAACACGCTTCCCCTGTTAAGGAGTATCTCATTTCCGCAGCAGGCGAGGGAAATAAAGCGTCTAGACACAGCCCAGACAAGCCCGGCCTTGTCCAGCCTCGGCCATGACTTACAGTCTGAATGGCATCCCCCAGAGAACGTGCACGCAGACACTCCTGGGATCGTCCAGGCGGGGAAGGAGCAAAGATGTTTATTATAAAAATAGCATGTAACTTTTCCTTTAAAAACTTGGGGAAAAGAAGAAAATAAAAGTCACCTATTATTTCACAAGCAGAGAGGAAGCTCTATTAACATGCCAGGTACATTTCTTTCTGATGTTTTTTTCTATGGATAATATGACCATAATAGCATCTACTGAGCTTTTTCAGGGTACAGGGCCCTGCTCTAAGTGTTTTGTACACATTGTCTCAATCCTCCCACCGACCCTACAAGGCAGGGGCTGTTACCATCCCAGTTAACAGGTGAGAATATGGAGGCAGAGAGAGATGAAAATATACAAGGATAAATGGACATTAATACATATGAAAGCAAATGGAAGCCAGGATGGGGGTAAGAGTACAGACTTTAGAGGCAGACCACCGGGGCTTCTTTTATTTTCCTCTAACTTTATACATTCCGTACGTAGGTAATATTGACACAAGTTATAAAAATACATAAGTTTTAAACATTCAAAAGGTACAGAAGGCCACACTGTGAAAAGTCCCCCTTTCTCTCCTGAGCCCAAGTATCCAAGGGCAACCGCACTTTGCAATTTCTTTGTATCTTTCAAGAGATATTTTATGCGAGCAATTGTAGCTTTATACAGGTGTGTGGGTGTGTGTGTGTGTGCGCGCGTGCATGTGCGTGCATTCCTTTTTACACAAGTGACAGAGTAATCTATTCCTTGCTTTGTTGATTTAACAAAACATCTCATGGGTCATTACGTGTCAGTCATGGGTGGGTTCTGGCATATCCGATGCATAGCATTGAGACAATATGTAACTAGTTCCACCTCCAGCGGGTCTTTGTGAGAAGCAAATGAAATAATGCACTTACCCAGAGCCTTACACAGAATAAGCACTCACATGTAAGATATGATAACTAAAATTTTAATTATCCCGCATGGAGGGTTTTCCATTCTGTGTTCTTCGACTAAAATTATATCACTCAATTGGATATCATGTGCAAACATAAAAATAAACCTTGATTGTTACCTTGTACCATATACAAAAAAATTATATATCTGGTTGGTCGTGGTGGCTCATGCCTGTTATCCTAGCAATTTGGGAGACTGAGATGGGAGGATTGCTTGAGGCCAGGAGTTAAAGACTAGCCTGGGCAACATAGTGAGACCCTGCCTCTACAAAAACTAGAAAAATTAGCTGGGCATGGTGGCACACCTGTAGTCCCAGCTACTCAGGAGGTTGAGGTGGGAGGATTGCTTGAGCCCAGGAGTTTGAGGTTGCAGTGAGCTATGATGATGCCACTGTACTCAATTCTGGTTGACAAAGTGAAAGCTTGTCTAAAATTAAAACAAAAAACACTCTAATTGGATGCCAGACATAAATATAGGAACCAAAGCAATAGAACTAGAAGAAAAAATAGGAGAAAATCTTTGCAAATTTAAGTTACCAAAAATCTCTTAGATAGGCTACAAAAAGCACAATCCATAAAAGAAAAAAGTGGTGGCCCCCAGTGATCACTCATCCAGGTAGTCACCCCCTCTTTGTGAGCGTGGGTGAGCCCTGTGGTTTGCTTCTAACCAGTAAATACAACGAAGTTGATGGGATGTCATTTCTGTGATTACATTACATGAGCTTGTTGTTGCCATCTTGCCAGCAGTCTTTGTCTATTTGCCCTCTCGGCTTGCACACTTCATGTTGGACAGACCAGTGTTGCTAGAAACTAAGGCTGACCTCTGGCCAACACCAGCAAGAAACTTAGACCCTCTGCAAGCAGTCCTGGAGGAACTGAGCTCTGCCAACAGCCTGAGTGAGCCTGGAAGCAAATCCCTCCCCAGTCAAGCCTTCAAATGAGACCCCAGCCCCAGCCAACCACTTGATTGCAGAGGACCCAGCCAGGCTGTGGTCATGTTCCCGACCCACAGAAATGGTGAGATAATTAATGTGTGTTGTTTTAAGATGCTAAGTTTGTGGTTATTTGATACACAGCAACAGGTAACTAATACAGTCAGCATATGTCTGGAGAGAAGTTTGTTGCTATGAGTCAAGGACCTTAACAAATCAATACTCTTTGATTCTGCAATTCCACTTTGGGAATTTAGCCTAAGGGGAAAAAAAGAGGCAATTGAACCCAAAAGTACATACAAAGCTATCCATCACAGAATTCCTTAGTCAGAGAAATGTAGCTAACATTTAGTGAGGTTCCACTATGTGCCAAGAGTTCTGTATTCTTTGCTTCACTTAAGCCTCATGACAATCCCATTCTTATAAGATCATTCCCATTTTATACAATAGCAAATGAAGTCTCCAAGAGATGAAGCAACTCACCCAAGATCAATCAGGCAATGTTTATTAAATTCTTAGCACCATGTCTGGCACAAGGCAAATGGTCAATAAATCACATAGTCTTGGGAATTATTCAGCTTCAAGTTGCAGAAACTTGGCACAAAATATTTTAAGCCAAAAAGGCTCACAGAACTGAATGGCTCACAGAACTGGGTGTTCAGCAGTGCAGCTGGCTGCAAGCATGGCTGCATCCAGGAGCTAGAAGGATACCCTCTGAGCTCTGTCTTTACCAATCTATTAGCTCTGCTTGCTTCTATTTCTCAGGCTCTCACCACATGACAGACAATGGTCCCAGATTTATTTCCTACAGGCCTGGGAGAACAAGAGCATCCCTCTCCCAAAATCCATACTCTAATCCCAGAGAAGATTCTGACTGGCCCTGACTGGGTCATATGACCTTTTCTGAAATTACGTCACCAAGAAGTTGGGACTCCCTGATTGAACACTCTGGGTCTCATGACACTCTTCCAGGGGCATGACTGTCATGATTGACAGTCCCTCCCAAGACCACATGGTTGGAGCAGGGTGGTTCCCACAAGGAAGGATGCCGACAGAATCAGCATGGCCACAGCATGCAATGATTATTACCCTAGCATGGATGTTGAGGGGTGAAAGCTGCACATTGAGACTATGACCATCCAGCTCCAGAGGTCGTGTCATTTCCATTGCACACACCTCATCTCCCACCTACCTGCTCTAACCTTTTCAAACTTTAGGGCAGCTCAGGAGATAAGAACTGAAGGCTGTTGTCAGCAGGCCTGGAAAACAATTCTTCCACCCGACAGCATGCAGCAAAAAGCAGCTCACAAGGGAGCCTCCCTCAGTGAACACAAGACAGTGGGATGCAAAGGTCAGAGCCAAGCTGAGCTGACATGCCCCTGTCCTCACACACGAGGGCTACAGTGCTGCCAACGTTGTCAGCGACACAGCAAGCCCGGGACAGGCTCCTGAGAAGGCTGAGGGGTCAGCAGCTCCTCCTTGGCCCCATCCAGAGAATGAAATGATTATAATATAGATGAATGTTTATCGAGTACTTCTCATGTGCCAGGCCCTGTTCTAAACACATTGACTCACACTGCACAGCCCCATCAGGCATGTACTATTATTATTCCCATTCTAGAGATGGGGAAACTGAGACACACAGGGAGGGGGAAGTAACTTGCCCAAAGGCACACATCTGAACTTGAGATTCAAAGTCAGACTGTCTTGCTCCAGAGGCTGTGATTTTTTTTTTATAGAGGAATAAAAGGGCAATGATTTCCTGAGTAACACTCCCAAAGCACAAACAACCAAAGCAAAATTGGACAAATTGAGATCACATCAAACTAAAAATCTTCTTCACAGCAAAGGAAACAATTAACAAAGGGAGGAGACAATGCACAGAATGGGAGAAAATATTTGCAAACTACTCATCTGACAAAGTATTAATAACTAGAATATATAAGGAGCTCCAACAACTTGATAGGAAAAAATTAAATAATCCAATTAAAAATGGGCAAAGACATTTCTCAAAAGAAGACATACATAGGGCCAACAGGTATATGAAAAAATGCTCAACATCATTAGTCATCAGAGAAATGCAAAATCAAAACTACAATGAGATATCATCTCACCCAGTTAAAATGGTTTTTATCAAAAAGACAGGCAGTAACAAATGCTGGAGAAGATGTGGAGAAAAGGGAACCCTCATACACTGTAAATTAGTGCAACCACTATGGAGAACAGTATGAAGGTTCCTCAAAAAGCTAAAAATAGAACTACAGTGTAACCCAGAAATCCCACTTCTGATATATATCCAAAGGAGGGGAAATCAGTGTATTGAAAAGACATGACCTACCTTTGTCGTTGGTCTCCAAGCCTCTCGGGTTTAGACCCTGCTGACGCCTTCCTCCTTCTAGTTCTGCTCCACAACCGCTTCCTGTGGAGTCTTCTGTGGAGGTTCAGGCGCCCTTCCTTCTGACGCTAATCCAATCTATGTTCGTCTGTCTGTTTATTTCTTTCACTTTCCTTTAAAATCTTTCCTTCTTGCAGAGACTCTCTGGCTGGAGGTGTTTCATGTCCACCATCTTGCCTCTCCTCCCATTGCTGAAATCTATAAGTCGTATAAGGAAGAAATAATAAGTCTTATATAATTGTTTTAGAAAATAAAGGCGGAGATAACACATCCCAACTTGTTTTATGAGGATGGCATAACCCTGGTTCTAAAATGTAGCAGAGACATTACAAGGAAAATTATTATCTAACTTAACCACATGTCAAATGAAGAGACTACAGTTTCACATATGTTTGTATTTGATGTTTTAAGGACTTGGATGTTATAAATTACTCTCTTATATGAAAAAAAGATATCTGCACTCCCACGTTTATTACAGCATTATTTACAACAGCTAAGATTTGGAATCAACCTAAGTGTCCATCAACAGATGAATGGGTAAAGAAATTGTGGTACATGTATACAATGAAATATTATATAGCCACAAAGAAGAATGAAATCCTGCCATTAGCAACAACATAGATGGAACTGGAGAACATTATGTTAAGTGAAATAAGCCAAGCACAGAAAGACAAATCTCACATGTTCTCATTCACATGTGGATGCTAAATATTAAAAACAATTGATCTCATGGAGACAGAGAGTAGAATGATGGTTACCAGAGGCTGGGAAGGGTAGTGGAAAAGGGGGGATAAAGCAGGGATGATTAATGGGTTCAAAAATATACTTAGATAGTTTGATATAATGAACAATATTTGATAGCACAACCAAGTTACTATACTCAACAATAAGTTAGAGTATACTTTAAAATAACTAAAAGAGTGGAATTGGAATGTTCCTAACACAAAGAAATGATAACTACCTGGGGTGATGGATACCCCAATTACCCTGATTTGATTAATTCACATTGTATCCCTGTATCAAAACATCTCAAGTATCCCATAAAGACATACAACTATTATGTGCCCATAATAATTAAAAATAAATAAAATTTCAAAAAATATATAAATAAGCACTTGTTGAATGAATAAATAAATTTCTAAGCACAAAATCTCTTTCAAATATAAAAAGCAGGCTGGGCGCGGTGGCTCACACCTGTAATCCTAGCACTCTGGGAGGCTGAAGCGGGAGGATTGCTTGAGCTCAGGAGTTTGAGACCAGCCTGAGCAACAGCGAGACTCCGTCTCTACTATAAATAGAAAGAAATTAGCCAAACAACTAAAAATAGAAAAAAAATTAGCAGGTACAGTGGTGTGTGTCTGTAGTCTCAGCTACCCAGGAGCCAGAGGCAGGAGGATCACTTGAGCCCAGAAGTTTGAGGTTGCTGTGAGCTAGGCTGATGCTATGGCACTCTAGCACAGGCAAGAGAGTGAGACTCTATGTCAAAAAATAAATAAATAAAACATAGAAAACAAACACAAGCAAGAAGACAAAGGACTTCATGTTTCAAGAAAAAAAATGCGTGACAGCGTATTCATCTACTGGAGTATTGATATAAGTAAACCACATATTGGCATGACTAGGCAGGCCCCTGTGAACATTTGAATTTGGGTCTCCCAGTCTACAGTGACATAGCAATGAACTCCAGAGAATGGTGGAGGTCTATATAAAAGACATGTATCTTATGTATACAAGGGGTCAGTCAGCTTTTTCTTAAAGGGCCAGATAGTGAATATTTGAGGCTTTTCAGGTCATAGCATCTCTGTCCCAACTATTCAACTCAGCCACTATAGTACAAAGGCAGCCATAACCAATTGTAAGTGAATGGACCTGGCTGTGTTCCAATAAAACTTTATTAACAAAAGCAGGCAGCAGGGCTAGATTTGGCCCGTGGCCCACAGTTTGCCAACCCTTGTTCTATTTGCACCCTTCAGGGACAGTTGTTTAAGGATAGCAGGAGAAGAAAGAAAAATGTGTTCATTGATCAGATATAATATGCAGCTACCAAGCTGGGCTGTTTCATTTAATTCTAAAACAACTAGGTAACTATTATCCTCATTTCACAGATGAAGAAAATGGAGGCTCCAAGACACTAATGCTGTGCCCAGAGTCATGTAGCTGGTTAGGGAAAATGTCAGAACTTGAATCCAAGACTCCAAAGCTCAGGCCTTTGTGCCCACAGCATGCTGCCTCCCCTGCTATCCCATTCCAGGTCCCTCAACTCCCAGGTGTCCCTGGCATTCCAGCCTCCCCCATCCAGCTCCCACACTCTCCCTACCCAGGGCCCACACGGGCTCTCTAGCTCTCTCCTTCTCCGCAGAGCTCAGCAACGCTGCTCTGTCTGCAACACATTTTCCCAGCTGAGAAAGAAAAAATCGAAAATTTTGTCTTTGTACAAGCTGTACTTTTTGCCTGTAGCTAAAATTCCCCTCCCATACACAGAACAGGAATAATATCCAAAGTCATACAAAAATGAAGCTGGAAACTTGGCCCTCCTGTCAATATTTATTGGGCTTGCACCATGGGCCAGCCGCTGCCTGGGGACTAGATAGAGGAGGAGGAAGAGAGCAGAGCCTCCTTGAGGAGCTGATAGAAGAAGGAGCACAGAGTTCCCTTAGTGCAGCCTGGCAGGGAAGGGGGAGACTCTCAAAAGGATGGAGAGCTTGGAGGATGTGCAGACATTAATCCATGGGCGAGTCAGGAGGAAACACATTCCAGGTGCACAGACCCGGAGGGAGAGCATGGTCTTTGCAAAACAACCGACAGCCCGGCATGGCCGTCACACCAGCAGCAGGAAGAGACTGTGTGGTGGGTATCTGAGGACTGGGAGACTGGAGTTGCCCAGCATCCCTTCCCCCTTCTTCAGGCAATGGTACCCCAGTTTTCCTTAGGGGAGTCATTCCTTCCCTTGACTTTTGACTTCTGGCCTCCAGAGCTGTGAGAGAATACATTTCTGTTGTTTTAAGCCACCCCACTTTAGTAATTTCTTACAACAGGCCTAGGAAACTACCACACTTGCCTCAAGGCGGGTCAAATGCTAATCTGTGCCCCAGAGCTCCCCACAGGGTCAGGCGAAGGCTGTGATCTCACCTGAGCATCCCCTCTAGCCTGGCTCCTTCCCTAACCTGCTAATCTACTGCCTCGGTGAAATCATTTGCACTCTACTCCTATGTTGGGGTCTGCTCTTGGGAGAACCTGACAAGACAGGTAATTAGGGCAGGGTCAAGGTTTGCACCAAGGCTGTCTGACTCCAGAAAGTTATTAGTAAGAAACTCGTGTCCCTTTTCACAGACCCACCTGAGCCAGCCCCTAGGAGCTAAGTGACCACAGGCAAGTGACTTCACATCTCTGAGCCTCAGTTTCCTGATCTGTAAAATGGGGCCAGTCATCTTGCTTCCTCCCCCTTAGGGTAGCTGGGAGACTTAAAGATGATGTACGTAAGGATGCAGCAGGTGCCCAAGCCTGGGGCACTATGTTCTGCACTTACCAGTGAGTCTGAGCTGGGTGTGAGCACTCAAGTGACTCAATCTCACCCTCGGGCAGTGCTCTGGAAAACAACTCTGGAGGATGTGGACCCTCTGAGAGCCCTTGGCTGCCCTGCACTGATTAGATTTGGCTTGCAAAATGTTCCCAGGATGAAAGGAGCTGCTGGTGAGCCACATAATCAAAGCACATTTGTTAGATCTGAAGGCTCATGGTATATCATCAGCTGAAAAAGAGGAAAAATGTGAGTTGAAGGGAGGGAAAAAGATCATAAAGGCTGGGAACAGAATGAACAGAATGAAAAGAGCAGAGTGCATTCTGACACTCCAACAACAGCCCCCTCCCCTCATTTTCAGGCGGGGGTGCTGACAGGGGAGGAATTCCAGGTGCAAAGGCATTGACTAAGTCGGTCCCATTTCACCCAGAGGAAGCTCACACTTAGAGAGGTCGCCCAAGGTCTCACAAGTGGGGTCAAATCCAGGTCTGCTCAAGTGCAGAACCCCAACTTTCAACCCCGGTCTCCTTTAAGCTGCCGAGCTCTCTCCTGACCCTGACTCGGTCCTTTCCTCCATCCTCCCCGTATTCCCCATCCACCAAGTCCACGTTTCAATCCGCAGCATGTTCTCGGAGGTCCTTACTCAATGCAGCTATGACACCCAGAGGATTCTCAGAAACAAACAGGAAAGCACCTCTGTGAGAGGAACTGCAGTCATCCATCACACCATGATCTTGGACCCATAGTCACCCATCACGTCACCATGGTACTAGACGTCAAGACCATAACTGCACACCTGCACAGGAGACCTCAAGATGCCACCGAGAATAAATGCCACTCAGCACAAAAAGTTCTCTGGAGCCAGTTTTGACATTCTTTGTAAAGAAAAAGAAATCTGGTGAGAAATCAGTAATTTCCACCCTGATGGAGCTGGACAGAGTTTAAAACTTTACCTGCTCTATGTTTACTGCAGAGCTCAAAGGGAGGTTACTGGGACAAATTAACTGTCATATTTGCTCCACGTGGGGTCAACATAGCCTAATAGAGTGGAAAGAGCAGGCTGAAATAACTGAAACGGAATCAACCTAATGTCCATCACAGTAGTTTAAATAAATAAATCATATTATGTTCATTCTTTGAAATATCCTACTGCTATGAAAATGACCAACTGGACTGGACACAGCATAAATTAACCTTATAATATTGAGCACAAAATAATCAAACACGAAGAATCAACACAGTATGATTCTATTTAAAGTTCAAAGCCAGCAAAACTATATTAAGGGGGTGCATACTTAAGCAGTAAAACTATATAAACAACCAAATGACTGAGCACCTAACCCGGTACCACAGAATAAAGGATGGTGGTTATTCAAAGGGAGAGAAGTGGGAATAAACAGGGTTTTCTGGGGTTCTGGCAATATCTATATCTTGAACTTTCTGTCAGTTACATGGGTGTTTTCTCTATAACTATTTGTTACATTTTATATATCATATATGTGGCACGGATGTGTTATATGAGTGCTATATTCCACAACAAAAATAAGAATGTCATTAGGGAATTGCAAACTAAAACAACAGTGGGATACCACTACATACCTATCAGAATGGCCAAAATCCAGACCACTGACAACACTGAATGCTGGCAGCAGGAATGCTTGTCTATTGATGGTGGGGATGCAGAATGATACAAGCCACTTTGGGAGACAGGTTGACAGTTTCCTACAAAATTGAACATACTCTTAGCATATGATTCAGCAATTATGCTCCTTGATATTTACCCAAATGAAGTGAAAATTGATGTTCACACAAAAACCTGTCCACAGATGTTTATAGCAGCTTTATTCATAATTGCCAAAACTTGGAAGCAATCAAAATGCCCCTCAGTAGGTGAATGGATGAAAACTGAAGTACATCCAGACAATGGAAAATTACTCAGCACTAAAAATGAAATGAGCTTTCCAGCCATGAAAAGATATGGAAGAACTTCAAATGCACTTCACAAAGTGAAAGAAGCCAACCTGAAAAGACTACATACAGTACAATTCCAACTATATGGCAGCCTGGAAAAGGCAAAAAAGTATGGAGACAAGAGAAAGATCAGGGGTTGCCTGATCAGGGGTTGGGGATGGGAGGAATGAACTGGCAGAGCACAGGGGATTTTTAGGACATTGAAAATACTCTGTATGACACTGTAATGTTGAACACATGTCATTATACATTGGTCCAAACCCACAGAATGTAAACACCAAGAGCGAGCCCTACTACACATTATGGACTTTGTGAAAGGCGACCTCACTGATAACCTCTCTGACAGGGGAAAATAAACTATTAAACAGAAAGTAAGAGAAATAAACTCTCAGCACACAACTGTCCCTATAAGAAAAACTCACAGCACAACTGCTCCTTGTCTTGTTTGATTACACAGCTGGGCCTCAACTTGTCTTCAAGTCTAACTTGTCTCGAAGAGTTTGTTTCACAGCCTTGAAGAGCACTAAGCAGTCAGGGGTGCGAACTCTCTGCCTCAGTTCCTGCAAAACGGATTTCAAGGACTCTGATAAAAAGTCAGCCTCACTGAAAAAAGGGGGGGAAATGGAAAAAAAAAAAACAAAAACAAAGCAACTCCACAGCCACTACTGTTATCAGTCTGCAGCAAGGAAAAAAAAACCAACAAAAAACATTTTTACCCTTTAAATACATCAAGCTGCTTTTCCTCAGCTGCCAGCACTACCTCTACCTTTTTTCAATGCTATGCCACATCTATTATTTTCTAATTTTCTCTCTTTTTCTTTTCTCTTTCTTGGGAAAGTAAATATACTTTTTGCATCTTTATATCCTAATCTTTGTGTGAGAAGTCTTTCTCATCCCAGGTACAAATTCATACCCTAACACTTTGGGTGACATGATAGATAATGATGTGTCAATGTCAGTGTGTAACCATGTACCACACTGGTGGGGGACAATTCTAGAAGGGGACTTGGGGGAAGGAGCCAGAGGATATATGGGAAATCTCTGTATTTTCCACCCAATTTTGCTGGGGACCTAAAACATCTGTAAAAGTAAAGTTTATTAATTTTTTTAAAAAAATGTTTTAAGAAATAAAGGGAAGAGAAGGGAAAAAATAGAAGGATCTTGGGCATAGAGCTTAACCTCTCTACTCCTCATGTATAAAACAGGAACAACAATGCTTCACTCATAGGGTCGTCATGAGGGTGAAAAGCAACACAATACACAAGATGCCCAGTGGATCTTACATTCGTCTGGGCACTACTGACTAGGACGCAGGATTGTGATCCAGAGTCACTGCCCCCTTTACCAGTTAGAACAGATCAACCTGTGCCCATCACATGTAGTTTAAATAAAATAGAAACAAGGCCAGGCACAGTGGCTCACACCTATAATCCCAGCACTTTGGGAGGCTGGGGCAGGAGGATTCCTTGAGGCCCGGAGTTTGAGACCAGCCTGGGAGACATAGCAAGATCCTCTCTCTACAAAAAAAATTTTTTTAATTAGCTGGGCATGGTGGCATGAGGCTGTAGACCCAGGTACTCATGAGGCTGAGGCAGGAGGATTGCTTGAGCCCAGGAGTTTAAGGTTGTAGTGAACTATGATGACACCATTGCACTCTAGCATGGACAGCAGAGTAAGACACTGTCTCAAAAAGAAAATCAGACTTTGATTACAAAACACAGTCTGTGCATACAATGGAATGTTATTCAGCCATAAAAAGGAACGAAGCACCGATTCTTGCTACAACAATGGGTGAACCTTGAAAACATGATGCTAAGTGAAAGAAGCCAGATTCAAAAGGCTACATGTTGTATGCATTTATTTATAAGAAATATCCAAAATGGGCAGATCCACAGAGACAAAAAGCAGACAGTGGTTGCCAGGAGTGACTTTTAGGGGGCTGATGAAAATGTCCTGGAATTAGCTAGCGGTGATGGTTGCACAAGCTTGTGAATATACTAAAAACCGCCAATTTGTACACTTTAAAATGGTGAATGTTATGACATGTGACTTATATCTCAATTTGATACTTTGGGAGTTTGTGAAAATCCTGTTCTCCCCCTAAAAAGCCTTTCTCCCAGAGGTTTTAATATCCATTGATGACTCTCACCTAGATCACTCATTCTTAGGGTAACTTTCTATTTCCAGTCACCCTTCCTCTATGCATATTTGTTGAAGCTTTCCATATATTCCCTCCCTCTCAAAAAATTATTTTAATATCAGTACAGCTTCATGCATTTTTTTATTGAAGTAAAACTCATATAGCATATACATCACCATTTTAAAATGTACATTTCTGTGGCATTTGGTATATTCACAATGCTGTGCAACCATCACCTCTATTTCCAAGCCATTTTTGTCACCCCAAAAGAAGATTCCATACCCACTAAGCAGTCACTGCCCACTCTGCCCCCTCAGTCCCTGGTAACCACTACTCTGCTTGTTGCCTCTATGGGTTTGCCTTTCCTAGACATTTCATATAAATGGAATCACACAATATGTGACATTTTGTGTCTGACATTTCACTTAGCATAATGTTTTCAGGGCTTATCTTTCTTTGGCTGAATAATATAACATTATATGGATGTACCCCATTTTGTTTTTCCATTACTCAGTTAACAGATATCTGGGTTTTTTTTTCATTTTTTGGCTATTATTATGTTATTAAGAACATTCACATGTAAGCATTTGTTTAAACACCTGTTTATAGGAATTGTTGTCATTCAATGTGTCACACTTTAGTCTTGTCACTCTTCATTTCTATACTCAAATTATCCCACATTCGACCAGTGAAAACTCCTTTGCACTTTTATTTTAAAATAAAAATTTTAACTATATAAGTAATATATGACACAGCTTTTTAAAACTTAACACAAATTCCTCCTGGACCTGCCCTTACATAAGCCCCCTCACAAGAAGAAACTACTGTTTCAATTTGAGCTTATCTTTGCAGACTTTTTTTTTGTGCATTTTATAGAATATGCATCTAGCCTCAGAAAACATATTTTATGAGGTTTTTTTTTCTTTTACATAACTGATCTTATACAGTATGGATGGCACTGTAACTTGCTTTTTTTCCATCTAACAAGATGACTTAGTGAAGCGGGTGAAATTGGTGGGTTCTTAAAAATACAACGGATCTGGTTAGATTACCTAAAGAAGGGGAGGGGAGTCACTGCCTGCAACTTTCCATGGGTGTATGTCACTCATCCTCACAACAACACTTCAAGAAAGGTAGTGTCAGTATTTGAGAAATTTTAGAAAATTAAGTTTCTAAGAAGTGATTGCCCGAGTACCTAACATGTGAAAAGCTCTCCAAAATTAGGTACTGAATGAATGAAAGTGATTAATCATCAGTGGCCAAGCTGGGGATTTGAATCCCACTCTGTGCACCTGAAGGTCAATCTCGTGCATCTGTGCACAGAACCAGGAACCAGAGGCAACTGCTATATATTGAAAGCAGCTGCTATTACGAGCTGATGGGAGGCAGGGGGCAGAATTATAATCACCCACTCTCAGCAGTCCTGGGGGACAAGCTCTCTCTCCAGGAGGACAAAATCTTCGAGGGCTGACTGGGAAAACACATCAAGTGCTTGATAAACGCACGACCTTTGCAGAAAGGGCTGTGTTGAATAACCAAGCTAATAATAATCGCCTGATAGCAATTTCCTGCAAGCTGGTTTCTTACCACACATCTGGCAGTTCCTCCGCCGTCCCCAGGCTGCATACATGATTTGTCATTAGTCCAGGCGGCAGGAGTGATGGACACTCTAGCACGGGTGAGCTCTAGCCTTAACCCTTGCCTCGCCAAGCCTGGAGGAGACCCTCACAGGAAAAGCCCGTCCTAGGACGCTAGAGAGGGCTTGTCCTCTGAGGCTCCACCCAACAGACTCCCTGGGATGTATTGGAGATCTGAGGCTGCAGCTCACTAGCTGGGTGGCGTTGAGCGAGGCGTTTCACCTCTGTGAGCCTTGAGGTGAGTGCAAGGATGAAGGAAGAACATAACGTGAAGGGGCCAGCAGGGTGCATTGTGCATAACTGGAGCTCAGGAACAGAGGGCTCTCCCCACCCCCCTAGCGACTACCTCATCATGGCCCTGAAAAGAAAGGCTGGCTGTCTCCTTATCTGACGATAGGGAGAAAACAACCCTGAAATTGTGGCCTAAACAATAACCCTTTTCTTATGTCCATGAATTCTGTGGGTCAGTCTCTAAGGCCATCTGGGATGCTATAACAGAATACCATATATTGGGTGACTTATAAACAACAGACATTTATTTCTCACACTTCTAGAAGATGGGAAGTCCAAGATCAAGGTGCCAGTGGATTCCATGTCAGGCAGGGGTCTGCTTCCTGGTTCATAGATGGCTGTCTTTTTGCTGTGTCTTCATATGACAGAAAGGGCAAGGTAGCCCTCTGGGGTCTTTTTTATAAGGACACTAATCCCATTCACAAGGGCTCCAGGTGACATTATCAGCTCTTACTATAGTTTGGATACTTGACCCTCCAAACCTCATGTTGACATTTGATCCCCAATGTTAGAGGTGGAACCTAACAGGAAGTGTTTGGGTCATGGGGGCAGGCCCTCATGAATGGCTTGGTGCCCTCCTCACCTTAGTGAAAGGGTGCTTTGCTCTATTAGTTCCCTTGAGAGTCCCCCCAACAGCTGGTTGTTAAAAAGAGCCTGGCACCTCCTCCTCCCTCTCTTCCTTCCTCTTTTGCCATGTGATCTGCCGCCATGAGTGGAAGCTTCCTGACATCCTTGCCAGAAGCAGATGTTGGTACCATGCTTCTCATACAGCCTGCAGAACCATGAGCCAAATAAACCTCTTTTCTCTCCAAATTACCCCACCTCAGGTATTCTGTTGTAGCAACACCAACAGACTAATACACCTCCCAAAGGCCCAACCTCCAAATACCATCACAGTGGGGATTAGGTTTCAATCTATGAATTGGGGGGGACACACACATTCAGTCAGTAGCGGTCCAGACAGAGCATGGCAGGCTGGCTTGTCTCTGCTCCACATTGTCTGGAGCCTCAGCTAGGAGGGCTCAGACAGACGGGGCAACTCACACAGCTGTGGGCTGAAGAGCTGTGTCTGGAGCATCTAATCCAAGTTGGTTTCTACTGTGGGTCAAACTGTGTCCCTCATATTCAAGTACTAACCCTGTATCTGTGAATGTGACCTTATTTGGAAACAGGGTATTTGCAAGTGTAATTGGTTAAGGATCTTGAGATGAAATCATCCTAGAGTTTAGGGTGGTCCCTAAATCCAGTGACTGTTGGCCATAAGAAGAGGAGACACACAGAAGGAAGGCCACAGAAAGACAAAGGCAAAGGGAGTTAGGCTGTCCCAAGCCAAGGAATGCCTGGAGCTGCCAGACAGAAGCTGAAGGAAGCAAAGAAAGATTCTCTTCTAGAGTTTTCAGAGGGAGTACAGCTTTGCTGACACCTCAATTTTGGACTTCCCATCTCCAAAACTGTGACAGAATATATTTCTCCTTTTTTAAGCCACCAAATTTATGATAATCTGCTTAGGAAACTAATATACCTACCAATGCACCCACCATTGAAAGGGAGTGGGGTCTTCATGGCCATGGGAAGGAGACCACGGCATGCCAGTGGGCTGTGCCAGGGGCTTTACTGATAGATGTCATGTGTGAAGATCTCATGGGCCTCTTGGACCCTTGGGCAATCCTCCTTGTTTGAGTGCTGGGGACTGTGCTGTGGCTGTTTCTAAGGGAGGGACATTTGCAAGTGACTCTTAAGTAAAAGCCCCAAGAAACAATAATATTTGTAAAGCAGCAGTAGCCAACAGATCTTTCTGGGATGATGGAACTGTTCTATACCTGGAGCTGTCCAATATAGCAGCCACCAGCCATATGTGGCTATTAAGCCCTTACAATGTGACTTATTCAATGACAGAGGAATTGAATATTTCATTTCATTACATTTCAACTCATTTAATTTTTTTAAAATTACTTTTTAGAGACAGAGTCTTGCTCTGTCACCCAGGCTGGTGTGCAGTGGTGCAATCATAGCTCACTGCAGCCTCAGACTCCTTGGCTCAAGGGATACTCCCACCTCAGCCACAAGAGTAGCGAGGACTACAAGTGCATGCCACCAAGTGCAGCTAATTTACATTTTTTGTACAGACGGTGGTCTCACTACATTGCCCAAGCTGGTCTTGAACCTCTGGCCTCAAACAATCCTCCTATCTCAGCTTCCCATTACAACTGGGATTGCAGGTGGGAGCCACTGCGCCTAGCCTAATTCATTTATATTTAAACTTAAATACTACCTGTGGCTAGTGGCTACCATACTGGACAGCATGGCTCTGGAGAATTTTAATTTCCTCCTCCTCCTCATTAATGCTTTCTGCAAGACAGAGAGAAAGACACCCACAGAATTGAAGGGGAGCTGAGGTGGCCAAGCAGGGCAGGTGGGTGTCCAGAGTTGAAGTTTCTCAGGCCAACGAAACAGCCAGTAAGAAGGACTTGAAGGAGATCATGGCTGGGGTGGGAGGGACAGTGAGGAGGTCAGTGTGGCTGGAGAGGGGAGAGGAGAAGAGATGGGGAGAGGATGATTGTGCAAATACTGGTGATGGGGATAATAAGACCACCGGGGCTTAGGGACCCCATTTCTGAGGCTGTGGGAGGAGAGAAGGAGAAGGAATGCTGCCTGAACAGGAGCCATAGATAAGGGCAGAAATTAACTGCCTAGTTGGGGGACATTCCAGCAATCTGGGAGTACAGCAAAGCAGACTCCCACCTTAAAGCCTGAGGGGTCTCATGCCTAAAAAGCCGCAGAGTGGCTTGACATGAAAGCCACCCACGGCTGTAGAGGAAGATTGCAAAATGTCAGCCCAGGAGAAGGGTTGCCAGACTCCAATTCTTAAAAAATACCAGGTTGAGTTCTTTCTTGCCCCTTTCTCAGTAGAATGCCTCCATTAACAGGGAGTTAACCTCCGAATAAGATGTACTAATCACTTTGTTCCTCAATGGAATGGGCCACAGCTGCTGAGCTCAGAGATACTATCTACACATACCTTAAGGCATAGTTGTGCTTAGTAATGAGCTATGTGTTCCTGATTTTATAGATAAAAGAGTAATTAGCTAAGGCATCTTGTGACTTTTAGGGGAGACTTGAAACTTCTACACATTGTAACCCATGAGCTTTTCACGTGAAATCATTGTAATCTATAGCATGAAAAAGAGAATAAAAATGGGTGCTATATTTCAGTCAGTACCACCTGGCTCACGGGAACATGGTGGTCCCCTGACCTCCCCACACCCTTTCACCTTACTTTCTGTGTCCGTGTCTTTGTCTCTCCCATCTCTTGCAGCACACACTGCCCGGGGACCGGTTATATCAGGGGCATCCCAAACCCCCAATATACTGGCTTCTCTTTCTATCCAAGATGGAATCTCAAAGAGTTTGATCAGAGGAGGGATGTGATTGGACTTTGCTTTTAAAGGATCCTTCTGCTTGCTTTAAATTTAAAGACAAAACTCCCAGGGGTATGAACACCACCTTCCTCCTGCCCTCACCACAAGCACAACATGCCCTGGGGGTAACTGAGAGAACCCTCAGTGAACTACAGAGAGAGCTAGGACTAGAATCCAGTCCCAAGATGCCCATCTGGCTCTCAGTGTACTGTCGGGGGGGGGGGGGGGGTGTCAGGGTCAGGAAACACAATCTGTTTCCTTAAAAATGATTTTCTTCCCTCATTTGTTACTTGGTCATCCTATCAACTTCCCATTTTTATCAACACTAACTGTGAAATTGATGCTGACACTTCTGGTTTGAAAATAGAAATCTCTGTTTGAAAGTAATTGAGACAAAAAGTGCCAGCTGAGGCTGTCTGTGTATGTGTGTGTACACATCTGTGACCCCATAGGCCTGTGCTTATATTTGTGTGTTGGTTGACCTGTGGTCTGTGGGTGGGTAGTGCTGTGCCTGTCTACACATGTCCGTGAACACAGTGTGATGTATATCCCTGACAGCTCCCCATCTCACACACAACAAAGTACGGAGCTCTTACAGTGGTCCAAAAGTTTTGGCCTTGGCTACCTTTGCATTCTCGATTCCTACTACTCATCCCCTGGCTTGCTCTGGGCTAGCCAGCCTGACTTCCACGCTGTCACTGGACTACATTTAACACAGTCCTGCCCCAGGGCCTTTGCACTGGCTGTTCCTTCCACCTGGAATTCCCTCCCCTAGATGCCTGCGTGGCCAACTCCTCACTCAGCCTCTGCTCATCTCTTGCCATAGCATCCTGGCCTCCCTAGGCCACTAGATCTCTCTCCATTCCCCAATGCCCTTCTCTGTAACTCACATGGCCACCTGGCACACTGTATTTGTATTTATATATTGTTTCTTTATGTCTCTTCCCCCAACAGAATGTGAGTTCCATGAGGGCAGGAACCTTGACTGTCTCATTCCTTGTTGTGTCTTCCTCCTTCCCCTCCCACCCTACATCTAGAATACCCGCTAATTTTTTCTATATATATTAGTTGGCCAATTAATTTCTTTCTATTTATAGTAGAGATGGGGTCTCACTCTTGCTCAGGCTGGTTTCGAACTCCTGACCTTGAGCAATCCTCCTGCCTCGGCCTCCCAGAGTGCTAGGATTACAGGCGAGAGCCATCGCGCCCGGCCTAAAGTTAGTTTTCTTCAGAGTCTTACTGAGGAATGCAACCCGGGAGGAACATTTCAGAGAGTTCTGTTAAGGCTGTCCGGAAGCAGTGTTTCGGCCCAATATGCAGGTGGTGGCGGCTCTGTGTGTGCTCAGAAGTTACATTAGAGGCCGGGCTTTAGATTGCCTCACACCTACAATCCTAGCACTCCGTGAGGCTGAGGCAGGCGGATGGCTTGAGGTCGGAAGTTCGAGACCAGCCTGAGCAAGGGTGACACCCATCTCTACTAAAAATAGAAAAAATTAGCGGGGCGTGGTGGTGCATGCCTGTAGTCCCAGCTACTCGGGAGGCTGAGGCAGCAGGATCACTCGAGCCCAGGAGTTTGAGGTTGCTGTGAGCTATGCTGACACCACGGCACTCACTCTAGCCCTGGCGACAGAGCGAGACTCTGTCTCAAAAAAAAAAAAAGTTACACTAGAGCAAAATCTGATCAAGGTTTGGGTGCAAGGGTACACCTGGTTTTAGATTAGAGGCATCGTCACTAATCCGGCCAGACGCTGTATTTTACACACAACAGGCGAGGGCCAGGATCACCTCTTCCATGGAGTGCTTCAGGCCGGAGCGCGGGAAGCTGTGCTCGCTCACTTGTCGTCTTCAGGGCGTTCTTCAGAGGCAGGGCCTCTGTGCAATTCCGGCCGTCGTGCAGGATGAGCAAACGTCGCTTCCCGCATTTGCAACTCTGCCCCACACCTGGCGCTGGAAGCTTGCGAGCGGACGAAGGAATGGCGACAACGACAGTGACAAACGCAGCAGCCAGCACGCGGGGAACCGCACAGTCAGGTCCCGGCATCCCGCTCCAATCTCAGGCCTCACCACTTAGTATGTGGGTGCTTTGGGCGAGTTATTTAACTCCTTTAAGGAGTGAGTTTTCGGCCACCCAGGTGCAGAGCCATCCCCACCGAGGTCGGTCGCGTCACCAAACCGCGACAGGTGACAGATCCGCGGTCTCCTCAGGCCAAGAAAGCGGCCGTAGACGGCTCTCTCGCACGCATGCGCGCTTCGGGCGGGTGGGCGTGGTCACGGGAGGGGTGCCTGGACCGACGCGCGCAGGGGCGGGGCCGCGCCTGCGCAGACCGTCTGTTATGGCGGCCGCCTGAGTCCCGCTGTGATGGGGTCCGGTGAGACTCTAGGCTGGGCCCCGCAGCGGGTAAGTTCCTGGGAGAGGCGGCCCGACGGGGTAGGGTGCAGGGAGCCTCCTGGCACTGTGCCTGGCTTTGAAATCCGGGCTCCCCCGGACCTGAAGGCCAAATCTCTAAGGCCTGACCCAACTCTTAGCCTCAGTTTCCCCTTTTAAGCACGGGTGTTGGAGAATGACGTCCACATGGTCACCTGGGTTTCCATCCCGCGCCCAGGCAGCCTCCCTCGGTTCCAGTTTAGGAAGGGAATTGATGCCCTAACTGTGTCTGTGTTTTGAGAGGACAATGGTTAACAAGAGCGGGGTCGTGAAGGCGGCGGGGCAGAAGGAGGCGCCTCCCGGAGCCGCCGACTCCAACTCTGCAAGCTGTAGCCAGGCCGAGTCGATCCACACCCCCGCCGCGGGCCTTAGTTCCCACACCTTCCCAGTCTAAACACCCTGCTCTCCGTTATCCAGCGCCTGACAGTAAACCGTCACGGAATCGTGCCCAAATCCTGATTATCGAGTGAATGGCACCTAGTGGAAAGAAAGACCGGGAGGAGGGAAGTTATTTCTACCTCCTGGTCCTAGCAAACTGTGTTTTGGGACAACTTAACAGGGGACCTATAGAAGCGGAAGGTGAACAGTGTCTGAGTGTGGCCCCCACAGCCCTGTGAGAGGAGCCAAAAACACCTGTCATCTCCTACTTCAGGGATGAACCAATTACCAGCCCGAGGGGGCGGGCAGGGTGGGTTTTGTGAGATAAGATAGTGAAGGTAGGAAACTAGGTTTGCTCATTCTGCTTGCCAGCAAAATTTCACGAAGGGCATCCCCGTGGAAGAATGCCCTGAAGAAGATGAGCAGGTTAGAGCACAGGTTCCTGCCTCTCTTGCTTGAATCACTAACTTTTTAAAAAAAGATACGCTCACTGATCCTAGCCCTTGCCTCTCCCTGTGCATAAGATAACTTCTGACCAGATTAATGATGATGCCTTTGTAATCTATAACCAGACATACTTTTGCACACACACTTTGATTAGAATTTGTTCTAAAGTAACTCCTGAGCACATGTAGAACCTCCACCACCTAATAATTAAGCTGTGGGTTGAAACACTACTTTGGAGCAGTCTTAACTCTCTGAAAGACTCCTGGGTTGCAATCCTCAGTAAGACTCTGAATAAAACTAACTTTAATTCTTTAAAAGCTTAGTTTTTCTTTAGTTGACAGTTCCATCCGCAACCTGGGTCTCCTTTCTCAGCTCTGCCCAGTGAGGAGAGAAGCCCAAAGCCCATCTAGCCTCAGCACTCCCATACAGACTCTTAGTCAGGTTTTTTGAACTAGAGAAACTGACCATTGCCTTTTTCTGTCTTCCCAGCATTTCCTTTAATAATAATTGTTATATTGCTATAGTGATAATACTGTCTTTGTTTATTGAACATTTACTATGTCCTGAGCCCTGCAATTGATCATTATCTCGTTTACTACTCACACAGGCCCTGAGATAGTTACAAGAGGGCCTCTTTATTCCCAGAGAGCTGTTTCTGGGGAAAGCCCTGTAGAGGGAACCTTCTTCACCTAGAACTTAGAATGCAGAGTACATTTCCTGGGAAGGCTAGGTAGTTTGAATTTTAAATTGAAAATTCAAATACAAATTAAAAATTGGAAAGAGTTTTTGTCTATATTTAAGGATGTAATATTATGCTGGTTTTTGGAAAGAGCAAAGAACATTTTTCTGGAATGTACTTTCTCCAACAAAATTGCCCTATAGCAAAAAATGGCATCCTTTGGTGCACTTTTGACTTTCATGGCAATATCAGAGAGAATCTTTTTATTTATTTTGCCCCCAAAAGCTTTATGTAGGAATCCTCAATTTTTCCCCAGGACATCTCTTAGTCCTGGTAGAGCCAATTCTGCCTTTGAAATGATTCCTGTGGTAGGTGTAAGCTGTATTTCCTCTTCCTAGATCCAGCGTGATATTTCCAGTCCTTGTTGGTTGAGAGCTTTTGCCTAAGGGTGGAGCATTTCTCCCTCACTTCACTGACAGCAGGAAGTCCTGCATTGATGTGTCAGATTCACAGCTTTTCCTCACAACCCACTTGCCCTTTGCTGGCTTATAGTGTCAAGTAGGAAAGCCAGCGTGGAGACTTAGAAGGAATTGTCTTTTTCCTAAAAATGTTTATGTTGGGACAACTTTTGCTGCCTTGTGGCAAGCACTTAAACATAGGCACTCCACTTGTATACTCAGATCATGAGGACGCCTGGGTCCTGTTTTCCAGTTGAAGAAATGGAGGCCCTGAGGGGTTTCGTGACGTGTCTAGGGGACTCAGCTAGTGCGCATACCTACCCAGGTAGAAGCAGTTCTTGTAGGCAGTCAGGTTATGGGCAGGTTTGGGTCAACACCTGAAACCAACCCAGGACAAGGAAGGTGCTGGTATTTTACAAGCACTGCTATGGGCCAAGGACTCTGCTGAGCACTTTACCCCCAGTGACACTGCAAGGTGAGACTAGCTAAAGAAGCAGGTCCAGAGAGATGTGATTTTCCTGAGGTCACGTAGCTAGGAGGTGGGAGACCAGAGTTCCCCTCTGTTCTGCCCAGCCTCAAAACCCATCAAACTGCTGCTGTTTGATGCTTTCTGATGAGGTAGTACATTTGGTAGGAGAAAGATCCTTCCTGTTTTTGACCACTGTGCCTCAGGCATGGTTTTCCAAACTAGTGTTTGCTGTTTCCCCATAATTTTTCCATATCTATATATCACCTGTATAGTGATTCTCTTCATTGCTTTTCATTTAAGTCCATTTACTTTTTTTAAAAAAATTAATAGGAAAGCTTTCAAACAAATGATATGTGGGTAGGTAATATCAGCTCCTAGAATAAGAAAATGAGAAAATAGATAGGGCAAGCACATAAGGCAAAATGTTGATAATCGTTGAATCTAAGCAGTGAGTATATGGGTGTTTATTATATTCCCCTAACTTTATCCATTTGAAATTTTTCATAATAAAGTTGGAAAAAATAAAGGAAACTTTATCACTATAAGTGAGAATTCAGATCCTCCGCCATAAATAAAAGATTACTGTGAAAATGAATATATTATAAACAAAATAACACATTTAAATTCTAGCTGGATTCTTTTTCCTGGTCAAGTCTCTAAGACTTTCTACTTAGAAAAAATTTAAAAGGAATTGCAAAGGGAAGCAGTATCTCCCTGGGAGATGCAAGCTGTTGGCCACCTTGCTGGATACACCTACACTGTTCCCCTGTGGGACCTGCCATGCTGAGGACCTGTTCTCACCTCTCAGGTGCTCCTGTCCCAGGATTAACGTGGAGCCTGGGCCATGATGCAGTTGGCTCCCACCCCAGCCATGGATGAGGTCACCTTTAGAAGTGACACTGTGCTGTCAGACGTCCACCTCTATACCCCGAACCACAGACACCTCATGGTGCGGCTGAACAGCGTGGGACAACCCGGTAAGGTCCTGGGCACGGGTGCCCAGCGGATCCCATTTTGCTTTCTGCTTTCTCATACTGATCTCTTTGGGGAAAATATTGGGAAGATTGTCTTGTTTCATTGTTATCCTCACACCACTTCTTAAGTGCCCTCCTTTCATTGAGCAAACTCCTGTGCCTTGCTGAGCACCTACTGTGTGCCAGGGATAGGACCTGATCCTGGGAACACACAGTTGGTGGAGCCAAGCTCTGTCCTCAGCAAGCCCAGGGACCAGCGTGTGGGCAGACAGCGCTGGGGCTCCAGCTGTCCACTGTTCTGCATCCCCTTCCCCTGTCTGGCCACCTCCGATTGCCTGCCTACTTGTGTCTTCTCCTCCTGGGACTCCCTGCTCCACACTCTCCGCAGCAGCCAAGGAGATCTTTTGGAAATGCACGTCAAATCACAGCACTCCCTACTGGGGACCTCCCATTACTTCCCCTTGCTCTCAGAATAACATCCAGATTTCCCACGTTGGCCTGCAGGACCCAGCCTGACACAGCCTCTGCCTGGGTGTCTCCCCTTACATCACCCTCCCTCACTGGTCTGTGGCCACTGTCACCTCCTCCCTGTCCCTCAGTCACTGCACTTGCTTTCTTCCCTCCCAGCCCCAGTTCCCCAAGTGTCATCTCAGACAAGCCCTGCCTGACCACCCTCCTGATTCCTATTACCCTGTATTAGCTCGTCATCCTGGTGTGATTATTAATGCTTCCAGTTTCCCTTCCATCCTAATTGGGATGATACATTTTACCAAGAGTCTATAAACTGTAGGCTGTGGGGTAAATCTGACCTGCAGCTTGTTTTGTAAATAAAATTGTATTAAGACGTGGCCTATGCCTGTTCATTTACATGTTCTTATGGCTGCTTCAGTGCTATAATGGCAGAGTTGAGGAGTTGCAACAGAGCTCAGGTGGCCCACAAAGCTTAAAATATTTACTCACTAACCTGTTGTAGAAGCAGTTTGCTGACCCCTGCATTATATGGTTGCCATGTCTGGCGCACAGAATACAGTTTTACTGTATTCATGGCAATTAGTACATGGTCCCTAATTATCTTGCTTGTGTAATGTTTGTTCCCCCTCTACCCCCCTAAAATGCAAGCCCCTAAGATGTCGAATTCTACTTTGTGTCCCCAGCACCTAGCACGGTACTCAGCACAGAGTCCACGTTCAGTGGTGTTTGTTAGATGGATGGATAGATGGGTGGATGGGTGGAGGAGTGAAGTGCTCCAAAAACTGGCATAAACCCAGGATGCTGTGGGCACCTAAAAGAGAGGCATTGACCCCAGCCTTGGAGAGGATGCCTGAGCTCAGTCCTAAAGGCTGAGAGGGATCTACCCAGACAGAAGCCAAGGAAAAGCACAGTAGGCAGAGGGAACAGCCTACGCAAAGGCCTAGA